TTTCACCACTGTGCTTTAGAGACAGGTGAATAATAAATACTGTTAAAACAATGTCCACAGTGATAGCAAAGTGAAAGATAAAACTTTGCTTTATAGGTCACAAAATACTCAATGACCTATGTAAGAAACCTGAACATTCCTAATGACTATCAAGAAATATTTGTACTCCATATCTAATTTTAGTCAGTGTCCAATAATGCATTTTTAAGACAAAATTTAGATTTTAAAATGCAATTTAGAAATACTATAGTTCTCAAATACCATCAACACCATCAAAAATAACTAAGCTAATGGAATATAATTCTATCTGAAAAAACAAATTTAAGTTAACTGGTTAAAAAAATACCCACATACACGGAATGCCCCATTCCCCAATGACCACAGCCATTTATTTTTTAAAGATTTTATTTATTTGACAGAGAGAGACACAGCTGAGAGCAGGAACACAAGCAGGGGGAGTGGGAGAGGGAGAAGCAGGCCTCCCGCGGGAGCAGGCTCGATCCCAGGACCCTGGGACCATGACCTAAGCCGAAGGCAGGCGCTTAACGCCAGAGCCACCCAGGCGCCCGCCATTTATTTTTTTAATTATTTTTTTCAAGGTAGTTAGTAGTAATATTGGTGTAGAATTTAGTGATTCATCACCTCCAAACACCTGGCGCTCAACCTAAGCGCCCTCCTTAATCCCCATCACCTGTTAAAGCCATGCCCCCACCTCCCTTCCAGCAACCTTCAGTTTATGCTCTACTGTTAAGAGTCTGCTTGACCATGGCTATTTAAATGAGATAAACAGATATTTAAGAACTTCCAAGCGAATATTTTAAGTTACCATTTATGAGTCTTCACTCAAAAGGCGAGGCACTTACTTGTAAACCATTTCACCAGCATTATCTCATTTCATCTTCAAAATCCTATAAGGCATTATCATTCCTATTTTATAGATAAAAAAAACTGTGGTTGAGATAAAGCAATCTGTCCAAAGCTACACATTAATTTACACTCAAATGAAAATGTGTTTGTCCATTCTAGATTTATAGCTCAGTTATATTTTTTATAGGATCATACGCTTATTAACAAGCTACGCATTTTCTAAATAGTCACTTAAGCATTCTTAACCTACACAGGCAAATCTGTCCTTCAAACTCAATGGATGACATATCAGCCCTTAACATATCCCATCCCAGTTTTATTGGCTTTATGCATGGTAAGAACACACTCAAATATTAAGGACATATATTCTCCTAAGTTCACATGCACCTCTCTGCTAACTAGAGGACAATTCACCTTCTTAACTTTAAGAGCCACTACACTGGGTTAAAAAAATTAGAAAAACTATACATTTGCTTTTAAATGTCTTCTGACACCTCTACAACCTGTAGCGTGAACTCTGTAAAAGGAGATTAGATGAAATCTCATACACATTGTAAATAATCCAAAACCTAGTATTACGTGTTTAAGAAATGGACCTGAAGTCAGACAGATTTCAATTCTGATAATGCCTCTGCTGTTAAGTAGCTGAAAGGGCCTAGCGGGCAGCTAACACTAGAGTGAATTCAAAAGTTGTACTTACTGCACACTCCAGTTAAAAACAAAATCTGCACCTGAAAAGTTTTTGTCAGCTGTGAAAAGGTAAGTGCTTTCTTTTCTGCATACGTAGAATGCTTAGCAGGCAAGCGAGCACCCAAGAAGAACCATCTTATCTCTCCCCCCCAGTCCCCATCCTGGGGCAGAATGAACTGTTCTCCCGGCAACCCAGGACTTAGAACTATCTCCTAAAGAAACCATAAACGGTGGCTAGGGTTAGGACCTGTTACACCAAAGGTGAAACATGCATCTTTAAGCTGATCTGGGAATCTACACATTCATAAGGTTGTCACAGGAAAATACCTTTGATTTCCAAAAGCCCAGCAGACATACACCTTTAAAATACAACCCATTTTTACTACAGCGATTGGTGGCAGCCTTGGCTTTACTCAACAGTCTAAAGACTATCTGCAGGTGAATTTCAAAAAGTAACATTCTGGTTTGAAATATGTACATTTAAAGAAAAAATCTTATTGAAACTGTTCTTACTCAAACAATAAAAGCTAGGAGAGTCCAACCCCGTCATTTTCCACAAGAGGAAACTGAGGCTCACAATCACACAGGCAGTTTGGCAGGCCCTGGAATACAAATCCAGGGTTCTGATAAACACTACCAGATATAAATACTGTCCTAGTAACCAGGGCTGAGCATTTCCAAAAGTGGCAGGGTCTCCTAACCACAGTTTTAAGGGTTTTGTTATTTTGGGGGGGGGCAAGGAGGAAGCTTCTAAGACCAAAACTTCCCACAAAAAGCAGTAATTTGGTATCACACCAAGCAGTCCAACATATCACATCTCAAACACCATTTTCGGTCTGGCGAGGCCATCCTCCATCTCCAGGGCCACACCACCCACCACACCCTTCTCCACTTTTATCTGCCCAGCCTGTTTCTCAGTTACTTCTCAAGGCTTCTGCATACGATACACGCATGCTTGCTGCCTGGCCTTGCCTACAGACTTCTACTTCGGCAGATGTGATCCGTGAGTTCCTATGCGTACGCAATGGCGCCAACACTGGAGTAGTTAACTTCTCTCCTGCTCTTTTTCAAAGGCTCAGCTCATCAAGGAAGCCTCCCAAGATAAATGTGAGAGTCTGGCTTTCAAACTCCTTAAGTGGCAACCATACTAAGAAATAATTTACGTGCGGGGTGCCTGGGTGGCTCAGTTGGTTGGGCGACTGCCTTCAGCTCAGGTCATGATCCTGGAGTCCCGGGATCGAGTCCCGCATCATTGGGCTCCCTGCTCAGCGGGGAGTCTGCTTCTCCCTCTGACCCTCCCCCCCTCATGCTCTATCTCATTCTCTCTCTCAAATGAATAAAATCTTTTTTAAAAAAATAATTTACATGCGACTCAATACAGACCTGCTCACATGCACCCTCAAATAACTCAAAAGTTTGACATGCTATACTTGCTATTTATGACAAAGTGGTCCCTCTTCATCCAATTCCATTTCACTTTTTTTTTTTTTTAAGTTCTGGAGAGAAAAAATGTCTATGGAGAACCTAAACGTGTTTCTCAACCCGCTAATGGATCATGACCTGCAGTGTGAAAAATAATGTTCTGTAACGTAAGAGCGATTACTTTGACCTGATACTGGAGGCATCAGCAAATATTTAGGCATGAGACTCCCCACCCTCTTCCAAAACCTCACCTCCTCCCCGCCCAGTCATAGAGATACCACAACGGAGAATTCGTTTCTGCAATACCACAGGTCAGGGATGGGAGGAAGAACCAACTTCAGCGGACTAAGGTTAAGTGCCATTTCACGAGTAAAAAGTAGAGCAAGGCTTTTTTTTTTTTTTTTCTCCTTTAACCATCTGAGCAGCCTTCACAATCTGAATTCTTCCCTATGTGTCAGGCTGCCTATTTCCGACTGGACCGTCAACACTTGCGGGCAGGAATTTTACTCTTCTTGAAAATTCTACACTCCACCCCTATACATAATTGAAGCAGAATTTAAAGTTATGAGAAGTGTGTTATTTTTAATATCTAAGATAACTTTTCTACTTCATGGTTTCTGTTGGACAGTAAATTTCCCACTCCAAAAGATGCTGGTTTATTAGGGGGGGAAGAAGCAAAGAGATGTGGGGCAGAAAAAAAAAAACAGGGGGTCGGGGATAGAAGACAGATTAAATGCACACAATACATAAATGAATATACACAGTGTCAGATGCTATGAAGCAACAAGGAACTTTAGAATAAAACTGAAGAATTACCAAACACAATACTGTACCCCTTTTCTGTCCAAAGTATAACAAACCCCTTCTAGTATAAATGTGAATTACTATTATACTTTTCTAACTTAAAACACAATTCCACTGTAAAAAGCAAAATTATCTCCCAACCTTAGAAACAAACTAATTTTGTGAGGAAACAGATTCTGCATTGGCATAGCACCACCCTGACGCTTGGGTCAAGGGCAGTAACATCAGAGAAAAGAAATTTACACCTGAGCAAGCCACGGAACACAAATGGTGAAAAGAGATGCACTTTCCAAAAAAGCATTTAATTATTTAAATAGCATCTACATGTGACTTTTTAAAAACGGGAAGGGAGAGCACAAAAAGATTTGGCAGAAGAAAACTAAATCTAAAGGGGGCAATGCTTTCCAGATCATTCCAATAAACAATGGTTCAACAAACTGAAAAGGCAAAGACATTTCAGCTCTAGGCAGAACACATGTTGAAACACTGATTTGTAAAGTTTAGACACTGGATCCAGGCCTCGGAAAGGCACCAACAAAGCCCAGTTGCGAGGCTTCAAGAGTTCCCATTTAGAATTAAACAGGAACAAGAAGTTTCCTCCCCTTTAGGAACACCGAGCCGTAATATCTGTTCTATGCCTATAAAGTGAAGCGGGGAGGGTGAGGAAGGGCGTAGAGAGTGCGAGAAAGCCCATGAGAAGCAGCTGGGGTTTTAAAAGTAACCTGCATGCGATGGGGCAGAAGCGAACATCCTGAAGACCTGATTGCTAGCAGCAAGGCCGTTCTAGGACAACTTGGTCCCTTTCTCACTGATCCGAAAAGCGCATTTTGACACCTGACGCTAGATCGCGATACGCGGCCGGCAGATATACCAGACTGAAAACTCCTGAAAGCACCAAATGTCACACTTGCTCACGCTCGCACCCTCCCAGAGCCTAACCCATTTGTTGAATGAAGGGAAAATCCTAAGAATGAATGAATGGGATAGAGAAGTCTAGTGAGAAGGCTCCGGCAGGGCCCCATGTTCGGGAGAGCCCCGGACATCCGCCCGGTGAGGGTAGGAACAGCGTGCCGGGGCGGAGACGCATCTGGGGACCCTCGGGGCGCACCGCAGGACGCGGACCGCCGTGGGGGCGCGGGGCGCGCCTCGCCGAACAAAGGAGAGGCGGAGTGGCCTGACAGGGGCGCCCGGCGGGGGCGGAGGCCGCGGGCGCTCACCTCGTCGCCCCACTTGAGCACGTCCTTGTGCCGGTCCTTGACGGCGTGGTAGATGTGCAGGAACTGGAGGATCCCGTGCCGCCGCACGTGGTCGGCGTGGCGCTTGGTCTCCTCCCAGCTCAGCGGCGAGCCCTGGGACAGCAGCCCCATGGCTGCCCCCTCCTTCTCCTCGGGGCTGACGGCGGCCGCTCGCTCAGGCGCAAGCCGGACACTCAGCTGCCCGCAGAAGGCGGCGGCGGCAGCGGCCGCTCCGCCCCGCGGGGGCGCCCTTGGGCCGCAGCCGGCGGAGGGACGGTCCGCTCCGCTCCCCTGCGCGGGGTCCTTGCTGCCCAGGTGACCGACTCAGGGGTCCGGCGCGCCGCGCGGACACAGGCAGAGGACGGGAGGGCAGGCTGGGCGGCTCTCGGCCCGGTGGCCTCGCCCCTTGCCCGCTCCGGCTCCCGCCCCGCTCCTGCTCCCAGGCGGCGGCGACGGACCCCACAGGCACTGTGCGGCAGCGGCTCTCGCTTCTCTTTACCGGTGTCGTGCACTAGCTTCTTCCTACTTGTGACCAAGACCTGCGCCGCCACAGAGCATGCCCAGTCTTCCTATCGACTCACAGCTCCAGAGCGCGATCCGTCGCTCCGGATTTTAAAGACTACGGGCGGGGGCGGGGAAAGAAGGCGGTGCAGGCGAGGAGGCGTGGCCGAGGGCCGAAAGAGGCTCAAAGAAGGCCTCGGAGGAGGCGTGCGCAGGCGTGATTGGGGCGGAGTCAAAGGGGCGGGGGCGAGTGAGGTCTCGCATGCTTTAAGCAAAGGAGGTACGTAAAAACCTGTGTTCTCTAATCCAAAGAGATAAACTTTGTGTTGCGGAAAAAATTTGGTTTTTGGAATTAATAACAACACACCATATTCTTTTTGAGGTGAGAAAAGGCCTCACGCTTATAAAAAACAGATGAGAGCTGCAGGGTATGGTAATAACTCCATAGCTTGGGAGTCAGATGAAACACTTGTTAAATTCTAGTTTCCACTATTTACTGTGAGATCTTGGGCACGCTCTTTCCGTACCGGTGTAAAATTATATTAATTCTATCTTTTATGGATGTTGTAAGAGTGTGCACGATGCAGACATGCAGAATCTATGGCCAATAAATTACCTGGTTATTAAGAGGAATCGATTTGTCTACAAGTTTTCTGTATATACAATGTGTAAATATTACAAGCATTTGTGTATTCTCTAAATTAATTATCTGATGAGATAAAGTCTTTGGATGGCCCAGACACCATTCATTGCAACGAAAGGGACTTTGTCAACGTCTCCGGATGGATTTTTTGAAGGAATCATCTCCAAAAGCATATCCCTCATCCAAACCTAATATTCATCCAGTATGTGACTAAAATGATGTTCACGTGAGCTTACCAAGGAGAAGATACTAGAAACAACTGGCGTTGACCCTATCCTGGTGTGAAAGAGAAAGGAGGTACCTCACCCGCAGAAATCTGTGTTGACAGAGTGATGATGTGTCAAGGAGGGAAAAAGTGACAGCAACTAGATCACATATGTACTGAGGCCAGAAAGTGTGTACCCACTTCCATCAACTACAAAGTTAACATTTAGTAAGTACTCATTAACTGCTGAATGGATATAGGGTAGTAGGAGTCTCTTCTCCCACATCCCTTCATAGTGGATGTGCCCCACTCAGGGATTGGGGACATGGATACCCAAGGTCTGGCTGTAATTTCCACAGTGGAGTGTGTGTATGTGTGGGGTGTGGGTGGGGGCGGGGCTGTGGGGGTGTTTGAAGCTCAGGAGATGTTTCAATCCCCAGCTCACAGCAAGAATAAAAATCAAGCCTCGTTTTATTTTGTTCACGGCTGACTCAGCAGCCTCAGCTTCTGCACCCACTCTTCCTTGTACCCTCTGCACCAATATTGTTTGGTCCTGGCTTTCCACCGTTTTTTCCTGCTTGGAATTCTCCACCTGACACATTCCTGTTTATCTGTTGAGTCCCAGTTATTCCTCTCCTTAATTTGGTTGCATTTGTGCATGCATCTATTTCTACATTAGGATAAAATCATTTTAAAAATATCTCCACAAAAAAAAAAATATCTCCACACTACTGACTTACTCAGGAGAGATGACTTATGCCTTTTGATTTTTTTTTTTTTTTTAGAACAGCGCTTGTATTAATCTTAGCTTCCTATGGAAGGCAGGGAGTTTGGGGAGCTGGGGGGGAGCAGTGTTGCTCGTTTCACATGCAGGTGAGGCATTAAAAGGTCATTTTTTATTCTCAAAATCTTATCTCACATTTGCACCATCAACCACATGTGGCTACCAAACATTTGCAACATGGCTAATTTGACTGTAAAACTGAATTTTAGTTTTATTTTAATCCACTTAAATGTAAATTTCAAAATTGATATTCCATTTCATTACTGGAACACTTTTACATAAATTTGGAGCAGGTTGGGAATGTGAATTTACTTTTTTGTCTGTTAATTTTATGACATGGAAATACAGATCAAGTATTTCCAATGAAAATTTAGTGGCCTAGGAGATGTACTGTGAGTGTAACACACATACTAGATTCAAAGACAGTACAAACATAGAAATGTAAATATTTCATTAATAATCTTATATTGACAACATGTTGCTGTAACAGTATTTTGGATATATTAAGATACCGTATAGTATTTAAATTAATTCACCTGCTTCTGTTTAGTTTTTAAAGGTGGTTAATGGGAAATTTAAGATTATCTCTCGCTCGCATTCCTCTTAATTGAAACAAGAGCAGGTGTAGACATTTACCCTTTGCAACGCACACACTTTCCTCCTACACCTGCTGGATTTCCTCACAATACCTGAAGCTGGGCTCTTGGGAGAATATCAGTTCGGTTTTAACGGACAAGGGTGGTTCAGTAAGAGACCAAGTTCAAGTTTAGCGAAAGCTCTACGTGGTACTGAATGTAGTGATAGTTACCACTGTAATTTGAGTCATTCAGCCCCAGGTTCCAGTTGACCCAAAGGGGGGCCTCTCCTACCCGAAATCTGAGCCAGTACCCTGAAGAGACCCCCGGCTCTGTTCAATCTCAAATCAGGTGCAGCATGGTGGCACTATCGGTCTGTTATGTCAAAGTTAAACCACGGCCGCCACAGTGCCTTTACCAGTTGCTGTTAAGGGGCGGGGAGAAACCCACCACAGCTTAACAGAAAGTCACATTCAACAAATCAATCCCCTTTATTTTGACAGTGGTTTTTTTTTTTAAGATTTATTTATTTGACATAGAGACAAGGCGAGAGAGGGAACACCAGCAGGGAGAGTGGGAGAGGGAGAAGCACGCCCCCCGCGGAGCAGGGAGCCCAACGCGGGGCCCGATCCCAGGACCCCTAGACCACGACCTGAGCCGAAGGCAGACGCTCAACGACTGAGCCACCCAGGCGCCCCTTGACAGTGTTTTTCATTTTTCGGTTTACTTCTCCTTCTGTACTTCTACGAGTAGGTTTTCAGCGACCAGCTCCGGACAGATCTTTTACGGGTTTAATGATCGCTGAGGGGAAAAGGCGCTAGTAGACTGCAGAACTAGCTCTTCTCCAAGCCTGCTCAATGGCGGATTCCTATTCACATCCTCTGCGTAGAAAACCTGGACTCAGCCTGAACCTACCACTGCCAGCCGCGATCCAGACAACGCTTCCCCGCCTCCTACCCCAGCGACAGCCGCAAGCCCCGCCTCCAGGGCCGTCCGGAAAACCCGGACCGTGGAGCCGGGAGGCTGGCGACTCGGCGCCACCGCGGGGCCCAGCTGAGCATGCTCGAGGAGCGGCTCAGTCGCGGGAGGAAGCGGCGCGGGCCGCGGGCGCTGCACGCCGCGTCGTTGTTGTGATCCAGCCCCCGCCACATGACTGCGCGGGCCCGCCTCCAGGCGCGCGGTGCCGCCTCCTAGTGACTCAGCACTTTGTGCCGGTTCCGTGCGAGAGGTCAATGCCGGGGATCCTGCTCGGGGGCAGAGTCACGGCCCTCCACTCTTCACACTTCCCCACCCACACCCACACCCCCACCCCGGCTGCTGTTCAGAGTGTTGCAGCAGCCATTTCAGACTCGTTGATTTTCCGGCCTCCCTGCAAGGAGGAAAAAATACATTTCCCTGTAATCACGCCGGTTCCAATTTTCCCTGAGTCAGCAGCTCCGCAGAGATCGCGGAGCTGGCCTCGCAGAGATCAAATGGAAGAAAGCAGAAGCGTTGTGCCTGAGGGTCTCTGAGGAAGAAATTTTGCAGGTTCAGGCCACTTGCGGTCGTCTGCCCCAGTCCTTACTGTTCTGTTGGCTTGAACATCCCTGAGGTGCTCTCCCGGGGGTCTCAATAATTTACTCTTCATGGTGCACCTGCTTTATGCCAAGCACTTTGATCTGGAATACATAGAATAACACTGATCGTTGCCATATTTTATAGATAAGGCGACTGAGATCCAGTAATGGTAAATAACAGGTAGTGGCGATGCAGGGATCTGAACTCCGTTGTACTTTCTACTATACCTCACAGGCTGGGTGAAGCTGAGGGTTTCTTTTTGGGGGCTCTTCCTGGCTCTTTATTCTAACTCCACTAAGCCCTCTTCTCCTTTGACACTCCCTTGCCCCCAAAAGACCTCTGTTCGGACAGTGAGGCGTTTAAGATTTTCGTGCTTTGTATTTTAACTAATTGGTAGAAACAAACAGCTATCTCTTAAGTGTACACAGTACAAAATGCAAAAGATGCAAAACGGATTATTTTCCCCTACCATTGCATTATACTTGGAATTTGATTGGACTACATTGAAGTGGTACTTTACAGGCTTTATCATAGAAGCACCGTACCCAAAAGACTGGTCTTCTCCCTAGCTCAGGGCAACCTGCCCAATGTAAGTAAACTGTGTTCTTTATCATCAGGGACCCTTCCTTCTCCACCTGTTCAAATGAGGTTTCCCTTCCAACCTAAACATTCTCTGATGTCAGTGCTACTAAATTAGTTGAAAAAGTGCAAATCTTTTTATATTATGTATTTCCAATGCATGTTGCTGAGATGTGCTATTGTCTTTCCAAGTAAACAAAACACAGAACCTCTGTCAACTTGGTTTTTATTTTTATTTTTATTTTTTTAAAGATTTTATTTATTTGAGAGAGAGAGAATGGGAGATAGCATATGAGGGAAGAGGGTCAGAGGGAGAAGCAGACTCCCCACTGAGCAGGAGTCCGATGCGGGACTCGATCCCGGGACTCCAGGACCATGACCTGAGCCGAAGGCAGTCGCCCAACCAACTGAGCCACCCAGGCGCCCTGTCAACTTGGTTTTTAAAGCTGACTTTTAGTTCATAGGAATTTTTCTAAAGTATAAACATGCTTATTTTCATGTAGAGTTGCAGAAGGTCTGCTCTGCCAAGTGAAGGCCTTTAATTAAGATGGGGAAATCTTGACTGTGTAGAGAAGATGGTTAGGAGGGGCGGGATTAAAGATATGGGAACAAAAGAGGATGCCTTTAGAAACAAGATCTCTCAGGAGGCATAATAGAATCCAAGGCACATGTCAAGTGGTGACACTCTTCATAACAGTATCATGGCCTTCTG